GCCAAAAGTCTAAGTAGTATTATTTATCCATCTTGACGGATCTAAATGATGTTAGTTATTATTATTATATTTAGACTCTTTGGAAACTTGACTAATAAAATTACAAAAAGTATTTAACATAAGTCCTAAAATTATGTTACATCATAAAATTAACCATGTTTATTTACATTTTTTTACAAATATTGTATTTAATATAAATAAAGTTATAATTATTCAAATAATATTGCCCTCCCACCGTTGGCGATATATCTTTACTATAGTTTCAAAAAATGATTTTGATCGTATCTTTGAATTAAACCGTACCTACTGCGTATAATATTTTAATAATGAATAATAATAAATTATATTTATTACTTTTAAATTCAAGTTTTAAATATGAGTTTATAATACTTATTGGAGATAAAAAAACAAATTGAACATAATTTTTTGCTGTAGTAACGTGATGACCATGAGGTGCGAGTAATGTTTTTTGGTAAGACTATTTTTTTTCTTTCAATTTTTATTATCTTTTATGGCTTCCAAAAAATAATTTAATGGATAAAATTTCTCAAAGTGATACATACACGTGTAATGTAAAATACAAAAGCTCAAAACCATCAGTCAGACAAAACACTATATGTATATCACCCTTGTTTTTCTAGTACCATAACTTTCGGACCCTTCTCGACCTCTTCGGTCAAGTTTTGAACTACTCTCCAATTGCCTGATTTTGGTTAGTTTCATATGTATAATAAGTTATTTTCAACCGCATTATTCGTAAGTTGAAGTATACCGATCCCAAAGTGGATGTGCAGCTATTATATTTCAGTTTTTTTATGAGGGTTACTGAGAGTGAGCTTATTGATTGAGAAACTTTAAATTCAGAAATATCACCTGGTCTTCCGTGCCGCAAAAGGATGTGTCAGATAAATTTTTATTATTTACCCTTTGTTATTTTACCATATTGATACTATTGGTTATAACCAATGAAATATTTGAGTGGGAAACTTGTGGTTGTTATTATACTATCTGTAAGAGAAAGACGAATAAATTTGTTTGATATCTTACTGTGATAATGAAGTTTATCTATTAATGTTATAGAAATATTCATAAACAAAACAATATTCTGTATATATTGTAATACACACAATGCTATGATATAAATATTATTGAATTAAAAAACGTGTGTTTCATTTTTTAATTAAAACTAATTTATAAATACGATAATTTTTAACTATTGGCATTATCATACTATTTTTATCATTTATTATGTGAAAAAATATATAATTATGCCAATAATTAAATTTATTGTAGCAATAAAGATATTATAACTTTCTAAAGAACTTTAGCTATTATTCAGGATAATTATTTTAACACTANTCGGTCAAAAAAAATATTATTTTTCCATAAATAATGCTTACAATTATTTGATAAAGTAATTATTAATTCAAAAATGTATTTAATAAAAACGGCAATAACAAATTAATTGGTTGGATAATATTTTATTAACTTTAAAAGTTATTTAATATTAACGCAATTAATATTTAATTATCGTCATGACGACAAAGTTTTTGTTTAAATATTTATAGAGTCAATAACATCAAATATTTTATTAAATGATTATAGATTATATTGAATATAACATATATATAATATAATATATTAGTGTACTAAATTTAGTTTTTTTTATGGTGCTTAGATCACAGTTTATATATACTCGTTCTTTAAATGAACACATCAAATATAATTTTCATTCAAATTCGCGAAAAAACAGTTTCATATGAAATCACCGTCCACTTGAATAATAAAAACAAATCAAATTCACTATTGGCTCAAATGGGTTTTCAATATTTTTTATAATAAATGTATACAGAGAAAAATAATGGTTGTATGATAAAAGTTGATATTTTATTATAAAACTTTTACGCATTGTATGAACATGAAGATATTCTCGATTACTTAATGATTTAGATGTACTTGTCGTGCACGCCTGAAGTATTATTACTATTAGATCTGAGGGATGGGGCGACACTAATGACAAGTTGTAATCTATAATGTGCCGTTTGGAAACTAACTTTTAATAAGTACTAAACTGTACTCGAGATTCGTGCAATTTTAATCCCCAAAAACGGTTTACCATCGGTTGCCATATTATAAAATGTACAGAGGGATTTTGAGGTATTTTCATTAGTACCACAATAGTGAAATTTATAATAGAACATTCTGTAAATATCAACTTTCTAAAGAACTTTAGCTATTATTCAGGATAATTATTTTAACACTAGCTACTCGATTTCTAATACATTAATAATTATATTAATCTTTTGTATTTTTAGTTTCATAAATTTTTCAAATTAACAGTTATGAATTACATTTTAAATTCATTCCTGATACCTTATAAGGGTGTGAGTTGAATTTTTTTTATCACAGAAAATATATTTAACTAGCTTATAAAACAAAAAAATGATCTAATTTAGAAAATGACTGGTCGATAACAACTTTTAACCTATTATTTTAGAACTCTTAAACAAAATTTTATACTTAAACGGAAGGAGAGGTGTGATATAGAAACAATAATGATAAATATTGTAATAAAGAGCTAATAACATTCTTGTTTCATATTTCTATTTAAGATAGATTGGTGAGTGAAAGTTGAGTATTAAATCTTATTATGAAATAAAATATTGAAAAATTACTTAACGACATTGGATTTTCAAAAATTTGTTTTTTAATAAAAGAACTCGTCGATATTATTCTAGGGAAATTATTTGCGAAGATGAGAAAAATTTTTTTAGCACACTGTGATAGTTTAACATCTTGTAACAAAAAATTTGTTACATGGTTGGTTGGGTACTCTTACTGAAATCAATGGCTTACCTGTAAAGACAGTCCGAAGGTCCTAACGCGCTGTAGGTGCGTGTGGACCACTGAGCATCAGACTAGGGCGGAGCCCTAGCTAGTCGAGCCTTGTGTATTAAACAAAATTCTAATATCTTAAATATGTTTTATACCTATTTTATTTTAATATGTTTAACGAGCTATATAAATAATCCATGAAAAAATAAGTTGCAGGCGAAAATACATAATGCATCGTATTGAATCATTTACACTTCAGAATATGACATTTAACAGATTGACATTTTAAACATATGAGTGTACGGAATAACAGGATTTGGTGGATGTATTTTGCTTGTCATATACACTGTACTAAAAATACTACAGATTCCATGTTTTTACCAAATCGTATAAAGTGCTTTTAGTAATTATTGTATTAAAACATAAGGGAGTACACATGGAGCAACAATAGTTTTTACTCAATGTCCCGCTAAGCGTTAATAATGAATTTGAAAAGTTAAATGAATAAGTATCAATAATTTGAATGAAATTGGATTTAAATGATCAGAAAATATCATGACTTATTTTTTAAAGTAACAATTTTAAATAATCCATCGTCTTAGTATAAATTTGATATGACTTTTTGTTTTTATCAGAAGTTAATAGATAAAAAGAGTCCAATATAAATATTATTATTTTCTAATAAATATTCATTAAGATCAATATTTTTAAAAAAAGTTATAATTGTTTTGAATTGCAAAAAAAAAATATGTTTGGAAATGCTATTAATAATAGAATAAATTTGAGATATTTAAAAAAAAAATTTAATTTGAGGGTTTTTATTTTAAATTATGGCGCTGATAGGTTCAACTAGATTAAAATCGGATTTATCAGACGCATAAATCATCAATTGCGGTTCTGTGAAAACTGAAAATTTTCATGAATAGACATAAAAAAAACACATAAACATAAAACCAATACCGTGTCAGTTCGCATCGAAACTAAAATTATTTAACATGTTTATAATGGTTCTAAGTTTCAGAAATGTTTAGAATTTCATCACCTACATTAAGTTTTAATGATGTTGTTAATAGTGCATTATAAATGAATACAGTACCGCGACTTAAATTAATTGTTTTTGACTGCCATGAAAATAAAATATTAGATATATTTTAGTTTTAAAATTACATGCTTTAGAAATTTCAGAACATTTTTTTTTATTGATTTTTCAGAATAAAAATTAGCGTCATTTTGAAATGTAATTTCAATATTCAAAATCAGACGTTCAAATTTGTGATTTTATAAAAAGAGAGATTAAAAAAATATTTTTGCTGTTTTGTTTTTAATAATTACCTGTGTGATTAAGCACTAGTGATAATACAATAATATGTTCATAGCAGATGGATTTTCAGACTAGTGACTAGTAACCAGAAAATTAATAACAGGTGTACAAAGTTTTGTAGAAATTAGAAATTAACTTAATTTTATTTTAATCTTGACTTTTAATATTTTTAATTGAAATATAATAGTTATTAATACAGTTATTGGAGTTGTTCGTGACATATAAAGACGTGTCGTGACTTTCATCTTAAAATTCCTTTCATGGAAAATATTTTAATTATGAATAAACTTCAACTGTAATTCTCTTACAGAAAATAACATCACAAACTAATTTTTATGATTTATTGAATAATAATGCAAATGAAATATTGCAATCAAAGTTAAAATTTTTAGCCATAGAGTTGTGACTATATATCATGAAAAATAAAATTTTACTTTTTAACATTTACTTAATGATTATTAATAGTTATTAAACTATTATTTTTTACGCTTTAATAAATCTGCACACCATAGACAAGCTATACCAAGGCACATATTTTTTGAAAAATGAGTTGATATTATTTTTTAAATGCTAATGACTATTATAAAAGTAGTCAAAACTAAATTTTGAAAAAAAAAAAAAAATTTGACTTGGGATAGGTTAAATCTTTGAAGTAAATATAATAAGTAAAAGAANTTTGACTTGGGATAGGTTAAATCTTTGAAGTAAATATAATAAGTAAAAGAATTTAGATATGAAAAAATGTTTTGATTTCGAAAAGTCTATACAGTTTGTTTGTGAAATACCTATTTTATATACATGTTATCGTTGACTCTTATATTTTTTTATAAAAACTTCTACTCACCGATAGATGCGTCGTAAATATGCAATGATTCAGATGTCATGAATTGACACACAAGAGATGTTTTTCCAACGCCAGTAGCGCCAATCATTGCGATTCGGAAAGGTTGAGTAATTCCTGGACAACTAGCACAACTAGATTCCCTTGAAGATGCCAAAGAGGTTCCAGCGCTGGTTCTAGCCGATCCAGGATATGAACCGCCAATACCAACTCCAATGACAGTGCAGTTTGTGGCTGTTAAGTGCTCAGTGCTAAAAATTAGATTTACTATATCGTAAATGAACTTACATATGAGCGATTTAAATTATTAATTTAGATTTCAGTAACATCTCAATAATTTAATTTCGTCAATATTAATGAAGAGTTAAACGGAGTTTACACTTGTATCAATTATTTATATCAAGACATTCAAATAGAAGAGCTCGGACAGTACATTTTTTTTTACTAAGAAATATTTTCCTTTAAATTGTTAAAAAAATTGAAATGTTTTTATGGAATTTTAAAACTTTTTGATTTCTTGTAAGATTATTTTTGGAGAGAATCGTAGATGGAAACATCTGGTAAAATTATGATTATGAAACCACTACGAACAATCAGCGAGATGCCATAAATGACACCTGTCCACATGTTCAAGTATTACATAGTCTTAGTATTGCTATTAAATAATTATGATATCGTATCGCACTTTCTTTTGTAACAGAGAAAATGATAAAAAGTAATGCGAACAGTTTATTACTCAACATCTGGCATCATAATATATGTTGTACCGCATAAACGTTAAAGAAATTCTATTTTCAAACAAATGTATTACGTCATATTAAACTTATTTCATTAGTACCGGCGGATAGTAAATGTATGTTTGGTCTGACTTAAAGTTGAGTCGTTCAAAGAATATCTAGTGCTCGGTTTTTTAGTTGACTTCACATTACTGGAAACATTTTTATTGACCAGAATATTAAATTTCTGGAGTATTAACATTTGAATAAGTTTATGTCACTAACAAATATTAAGAAAAAAATCACGTCCAAATGCTATTGATCAGTATCGTATTAATTATTAGTTTTTTTAATTTACCTTGAATTACTCGATGCAACGCTGTTATTTGACTTGGACCTACGACTTTTCAACGAATCTCCTCGATTTATAATACCTTTTCCAGTTATAGTGAACTGCCGTATTCTATAATACTCTTCTTCTACGCCTGTATTTGGCATACTTGCTACTCTTGATCTTTGCTGAGGCAATGTTAACTGATTGGAACGATTTTTCGGTATTCCATTTGGTCCCAATTGTAGTTGTACTGTACTCTTACTACCAGATGTTCGTACACTTTGTGACCGACAATGGTGAGGACTCCCATACCTGGTTGAAAAAAACTAAGGATTATGATGGGGGTAAGCAATTGATCCTAAGTAACATTCTGGAATGAATATTATACATTATTTTTATTAATTAAGTAAACGTCACACTTTTAATCGAATGATTAAAACTCGGGTAACAAATAAAAATACACTTAACATTTTTTAGAATAGAAACATTATGAACTTAAATGTTAAAGAGCATGAAATGTATCGTATAATCACAAAATGGGTATTTTCGTATTTCCATATTTATCAAGTCCGTGGCTTTTAAATAATATAAATAGGCTAAACAATTAAAAAGTCTTCAAAAAAAAAAAAAACAAAATATGTATTAATAATATATAATTTTTATATACGAACATAAAAGTAAATATAACAGATAATTCTTATAAATTCTGATCCAATAATCACGTCACTGTATTTTTTTAAACAATTTTTGCACTCTTAGACTACGTAAAGAGCTTTATTTCATTAATATTTATTTTTAGTAATAAATAAAATAAAAAAAATTTTTTTTTTTAATTTTTTAAAATTTTAAAATAATATTTTTTTAGCTTTTTTCTTGTAAAAATTTTGATGAGGCGATAATTACTTTAGGACAAGTACTTATGGAGTTACTAGCATATTAATACATAGAGTGGGTATGTAGTAGGGGTGGAGTATGTCTTATAAATTATACCACTACGAGCTATACCCAAACGCGTATTAAAAAACTCAAATAAGTACTTATTCTGAAGTTATTATGAACCCATTAACATTTTTTGCTATAAAAGCTTATAAATAAGGTTATTTTGAAATGTTGAAAAAATAAAAACACATCATAGTAAAATTAATACCTTTTCAGCTTCGCATCGAAGCTAATATTAAAAGAAATATATATATATATATAATTTTTTTAATTTTCTAAAAATAAATAATAATAGAAATGCTTTTTACGTAGCCGTGAATGAAAAAATTGTTTAAAAAAAACTGCAATGATTATTGGATCTAAAGTTATAAAAGTTGACAGACAAATCTGTTCTACTCTTAATTTACTAACTAATTATATGATATGTTATTATAATAAATAAAATTTATGTATAATATTTTACTAAAATTAAACAAATTTTGAGAAGATCTTTAATTTACTCTTATAAAATCCGAATGACGTGGATATTGTTATATCGTCTTTACTAACCATTAACCCAATTAAACTGATTAGTGACGTTTTATACGTTGAGCATAAAATAAAAATGTTAATTTCATAATTAAAAATGTGGTTTGTTTATTCGTGAAGTACAAGAAATGTAGGGATACCATATTTTCATAAGAAAACAGTATATTAACTGTAATATAATAATCTGAGTGCTTACTACTTGCCAGCAACTACCTACATTATGTTGCCCGTTGCTCGTATTTCTAAAGATAGGGATAATATTTTATTTTTTTTAAAGGATAAAATAAAAAGGTATTTCTCTATATATTTAAAGAACACTCAGACGTTTTATATTAAAGCTAATGTTTTCTCCAATATGAACAAATATTGCTTTTTTATACGAGTTAATATTTTTATGGAATATAGTAATATAACTCTTTGTGATTAAAATTGAATTGTGATAGATCAAATAAAGCTTGTGTTTTGTGAAAACAATTGTTGTTACGATAAAATAATAACGATTTAAATTATTTAGAATAATTTAAGAATTATTGTTCGTCTCAAATAAATTTAACAAGTTTCAGATTGTAAAATATTTCAATTAAAATTAAGTAGTGATAATACAATAACAGTGAAACTAGTGTTAGACACGCGAAATTTTATGTGATGTTATTGTTTGTTATAATTACCTTAAACAATGACTTTTGTACTGGTCTAAACTAAGAATATTTTGGAGTGCGTCGATTACGTCGGTAAATTTGTATTTATTATTTAAATTCACGTCTAACTAACTATTCTATTGTTACCAAATATTTACAACAGTTAATGATAATATTAAATTAAATAATTTTAATTAAAATTTGTCGGAGAACTGATTTTATAGGATTATAGTTAAAATTACATTGATAATATCTAAATCGTTTCGTTAAGATAATGTTCTAATTGAAAAAAATTAATACCTTCTCAGCTGCGCATCGAAGCTAAAAAGCTTTGGGAACTAAGTAGAGTGAACAACAGTAAATATTAATATTTGCACACTACTAGTATAATAAAACTATTCGATTATTAAAATTAGAGTATGAGCGAGTTTTTATAACTGTAAAATCTTATTGAGATATTGATTATATATTTATTGTAAATATTAAAAACGTAAAGAAATTTCATTTTATAAATCAGTTAAAAAACTATAAACTAGTGATAACTTTTTTAGGATGCCCCGGTGTAATATTCTTCAAGAAATATTTATATAATATTACTTTTGTTACGAAAAATAGCAAAATAATATTTTTTTGATAAATGATATTTTTATTTCTGAAAATTATGTAAAAATATATTAGTTATAAAAAAAAGTTTAAATATTTACATGGTAAAAAGGTATACTGTGGAATCAAAAACGTATATATATAGTGACAATCAAACTTTGAATTTCTATGATTTTGTAAGATCGAAAAAGACAGATGCGAAATATTTAAAAACTGTTGTAGTACAAAATCACGTTTCGGTTGATTGGTTTGTGCGTAGAACAATCAGTCACAACAGTCGAATAAATGCTATTTAACATGAATGATAATTTATTGTGGTGCCGAATGAACATTGTTCATTAGGGAAATCATTGCAAGGGAATGATTGGGTAAGGATACCGAATCGCTGCATTGATTTAATTAAAACAACGCGCTAGATACCGAGCACGAAGTAACGACGGCACACTTAGGTGTTTTGCTTAATCAATTATAAATTAGTTGATTATAATTTATAATCAACTGATTCCATGAAATACTTTTTGTCTCGGTCGCGAAAGCAGATATTTTACACAAGTATTTAATTATTTATTATTCGCAATTATGAAAACAAAACGAGGCATGCGATGAGAAAACATTATCTATATTTAAAAAATAAGAATAAAATATTTCAGTGATTCTACCACTTTTATAACTAATTTTTTATCAAAACTTAAACTAATGGACGATTGTAGATCGAATGAATGAAACAAGAGATGAAGAACTATGCACAGCAAAAGAAGTTGGAGTTTTCATGTCCCAATTTAATCCGATAATTAAACATTTCCCAAGCGAAAAATCAATTAAATTTTTTATCGCTAAACGCGGTACGAAAGCGTACTGGTTTGTACATAAAATTGACAAGATTAAACAAATTAATTAATGCTTTCTCCATAGAGCTACAAAGTCCTAAAAGGCAATCCTCTAATTGTAAATAGTAATGTTTTTATTAGGAAAATTAAAGCTTTACTTAATGTGTTTTTTTAATGATACGAGGTCTTTTGATAAGAGGTTAATGCGATTTTATAAAATAATGAAATTTTGTACTCAACGTTATTCCAAACCATTTTGATTAATTTTACGATTTGTTTGTTTTATACAATAGTGTGGTCTTATGTCATGGTTATTAATTTGCATAAAACATAAGGACTAACTAAGTTACGAATTTTGATTTTGTAAAACAAATAATCAATTTTCCATAAATAATAAAGTAGACTTTTAAAACGAAATGTTTGCGTTGACTATTATCTTTTTACTCGATATTTCTTTAAAAATAAATTTTATCCCTCGTTTAATAAATATGTGCCGTACTCGAAATCATAAGCTTTTTAGTGTAAATAATAATGTCACATATAAGCGGATATATTCTCGAGTAGAGGGATTATCACTTTCATAAAAAAAAAAACAAATAATAATAATAAACGACTATGAATATCTATTTTACTCGAATAAATCGAAAATCTAACGACAACTATCGCTGCTAAAATATTCGTATGAAATAAAATTGGCGTACATACACACGTGGGAAAATCACACGAAATACAAGCTGTAACAAGTAAAGCATAAAAATCTTTATTGATTATATCGTCATTGAAAGCAAAGACGTGAGTGGAATAGACGTGGAAAAATTATATTGTAATAAATGCGACGAAGACATTTTTTATCGGCTCTCTAAGCACAAATCGTGTTAAAATATTTCCGCGACGAAGCTTTAAGTCATCTTCAGATTTTAATCTGCCGTAGTATGCAAAAATATCGACACTAATGTATACAGATATTGTTCAGAAAAATGTATTAAATGTATGGCACAAAGTATATCTAATGCAAAATAATGTACAGTTTTAAGTATCCCAAAATGAAAATTTGAATGTATGCAAAACGTTAACCGTAAAACATTATCACAGTAAGCCAAGTTTATGGATCATAAAATAAATTTATAACAGACAACCAGGTTACTAGCTTAATCAAATTAAGTTAACTAAGAAGTCGTTATAGCTGTCGGACGGATCAATAGAGAGGGTTAAACATTTTAAGTATGGTCGTATTTAATGTCAAACTGCAAAATAAGTGCTTGTAAATGTTCAATCATTTTTTTTTTCTCGAAAACCGTTTAAAAAAATTTTAATGGACCTTTTATTTAATAATTATGTTTCAAAACGGTCTACACAACCCATAACAGGTTATTCTTATAGATATTATTTGATTAATCTGAGAGTACCTATCCGAATTCACTATTTTTTTAAATATTACCTATAATAAAAGTTATCTTACATTAAAAATGCATTTTCGTTACAAAAATTGTTAACTAATTATGACAAAAACGATTTTGAAACGTTTTTCATCGGTGTAACTAACACATCATTTTAAAATAAATAATATGTATTTAAATACGCTATAAATAATCGTGTTGTAAGTAGAATTTTATCGTTTCTACTCGGTGTTATATAATAATTACATTTTTTTAATTAACTGTGTTGTAATAAAATAATGCTTATTAGTTTCGTGTATTGTGCATTATCGCAGAAAAGTTCCGTTCTTCAATATTTTCGTTATATTTAGTCAGTGTTTACATTTTGTGCTATTCAGTTTTATCACACAATTTTTTTAATTTTAATGTCGTACGGCACTAGGAAATATCATTTTTTCATAGTTAAACATACACATGAATGTTTAATGGCTTTTAACGAGTTTTTTCTTCAAATCGAAACTACACAGCTACCGACTAATAACGACTTGCCAGTGCAATGAACTGCACGTTTTTAATGAGATACTCTATTTGATGATTTACGATTTGGCAAAATATACGCAAGGCCTGCAGACCTTTTTAACGACAACCATGGAACAGTCAGTACCAGTATGCCTACCCATAAAGTCTATAGACATTTCCCGTTTTTAATTCGATTTCTAACGACACACAGTAATCATACACTGCTGAAGATTTTGTGTACTATCTAAAATGTTTTATTGATTGTACACTTGCAAACATTGATCGAATGTGAGAAAATAGGTAGAATATCACTAAAAATCGCTTTTATTTCTACGAATTCTCATTAAATGGAACGGCAAATGTTATCCTTCTCTATTACTTTGACCACAAGCATTGCTGAAATTCTCGACATTCAATTAATACGAATGAATTCGAAAAATAGTTTTTATGAAGCAGATATTTGACTTTTGAATGCCGATAAGTTATAAAATAATCACATTACGTTATAGAAGTATTGAATTTAACCGGTCTCGTGTATTTTTATGTTGAAAAATTGTTTACTTTGTTGGGGCATGTAGATTTTTTGAAATTCTCAATTGTTTTAATGTTACATTATTTCTCAGTAAATAATCGTATTGTTTTGTCAATCAATATCAAACTAACTACTAATTAAAATGTCTATAATGAGTTTGCTCGTGTACATTAAAATTTGAAAACGGTAAACAGTTATTAATTAATATTTTGTTGTACGCTAAACACACGCTCTTGATTTTGCGGGTTTTAGTTCGCCTTTGGGTACACGTAAATGTCAAAAGCATTCAACTAAAGGATATTTCGTAATTCAAATGTCACCATTTGTATTTCTTGGTGTTACGTTGCTTTATGTGATGTAATTTCTAAAAATAGTACGACATAAATTTTCAGAATAATTGTATGTTATAAAATTTTTTTTTTAATATAGAAAAAATAAATAAACAGTTATTTCGTTGGCTATTGGCAATTTTAGCGTATGACTTTCTACAGTTGAATTTGTTTTTATTTATTTGTGGGATTTTTACTAAACGCCCTACTATCATTTCGAATGTATCTAATGGCATACGATATGATTCATGATGATAATAAAGACGTATTTTGTTTCCAGAGTGTTTAAAAAATAATTTCTAAAATATCGGTTTCCTAAGTGTTGGTCTTCGACTCACTTCATTTGAAAATCGCAGTATTGTTGTGTACTTAAACAATCAGCCCACCGGTTGAAATCAATTGGTAATTCAACCGGGCCAGTTTGGCATCCGTCGAGACCATGTTCGGGTGAATTGCCGGAGAGCGATGGCTGTTGCACGACAATTGTGGCCACTTGTCCCGTGTCCGACATGACCACAGCAGCTGACTGACTCTTGTTTATTATCAATGCGTCCAACAGCACAGCTGAGCTCCTACGGTTTTTGTTCCAGTCTGGAGTACGAGCGAACACGGCCGACGGTCGCCTGAGAAACATTACAGTCGATATGAATTAAGTGTGAACATAACGTACGGTTTTGAAAATGCAAGTGCAGCTTGGCGGTTAATAGCTGTGGCTCTCGTTGGACAATGATTTATGGCGTTATAAGCGGTCAGTGGCCGCCGGAGGCATTGCGATCGTTACCAAGAACAGCGATTGGTAAAGAAAAATATCATTAACACTACTACTGCGTGAAAGAAAAGACGACTAACGCGCAGACAGACAGTAAAAGATGAGTACGTTTAAGCCCACAACTCTTAAGCTAAAAACTGACTGAACGTTTGAACAGTCTTGGAGAGTATAGGAAATAAAACTTTATTGAATTTCAGCCGTTTCAGGCGTATTGCTGTAATAATAAAAATTAATCAAAATTTCATGCGTTTTATTAAAAAAAAAGTAACGATAACATGAAAATATATTAATTTTTCTATCATTTAAAGTACATCAATATTCGCGGAACAGACATGCAACAAAAAATAAATATCCGAATTAAACAGCGTAGGAAGTTGTTTTACGTTATTGTTCTAGCGGTTAATTATAAGGGTATTTTTGGGTTTAATTCTACCGAAAGAAATTTTATTACCAAAAAATAATAATAATAATAATAATAATTTAATAAGTTCAAGTGGAAAGCTATGATAGTAAAGTTTTTTATGCTTTAGAATTAATAGTCTTCAAAAAAACGGTTCTTAAAAGTTCAAATCTTCACTGTCATTGGTTGCTCTAATAAAATATCTTTGGAAAATTTCAAAGTTTCCTCGGATTATAGTGATCTTGATTTCAAGTAATATTCGTAACGTACGAGTGCGCGAGATAGGTACCCGAGAAAATGTGTTTTTTTCGAGCTCGTTGAATAACTATCCAGGGGAGAGTTAAGGGAAAATGAAGGGAACACTCGAATCAAAAATAATTTTATAGTAGAGATGGAACATTTTTAAATTTGGGACAATGAAAAATTTTCTTTTGTGTAATGAATAATCAATCATATCGAATACCCAAAGTAAAGAGAGTAGCCAATAGAAAACAGGTACTCGATTGTTGTTCGGTTAGAAAACTTCAACACGTGGCGAACGTTAATATTATTATTTTTATTAAACTTTATCGTTGACTTAAATTTATTAAGTTGCATAGTATTGGGATGAAAATATTTTACTTTTAGTGTTATTAACTAATTCTTTCAAGAATAATAAAAAGTTACTTTTAACCTTTTTTATTAAGTATAATAAACAAACGAATTTTATTATGTTTACAATAACCGTATTATCTATAGCATGTGCTCATAACTTACTTTTATTGCAACTATATTAAAAGAGCCGAAATAATTTTTTCTTTCCCCCCATTCTCTAAGCTTGAACTTTTAATATCGCCCAAGTATTTTTTGTTTGTCATAAAACTGTTAAAACGTGTTTAATAATTCATCTGTACTGTTGACTACTTCAATGCAAAACCATCTTATTAATAATAAAACTCCTCAAAAAAGTGATGTAAGTTGTTTAATATTAAACAGAGATTATAAACATTAAAATTAATTCTACATAGAAATATGTTATCAAAAAAAAAAAAATTTATAATATATATCTATTAAAAAAAAAAATTGTAATTTTAAAAATTTTTTTGAAATTATGCATGTTCTCATACTTGATGATAAAATAATAATAATTAATATAATATTACAAACATGAATAATCATTTACAGCATATTTCCCTTTGATAAATTGAAATATTACTTAGAGCGATATAGTTAATTTTACATCAGCGATTGGTATTATAAATTCAGAAATCTTGTTTGCTTGACTTTTATTACAATAATCATATCATATAATAATGAATAATTAATCAAGTGCGTATATGTATGTTATAAAGCATAATAGGCTTGGTTGAATTATAGTTAATAATTATGGGGGTGTAATCGTTATTGCAAGAGTGCTAGTTTACAATCAATCGCTGGAAATCGATAATAATTTATTACCCTCTGAATATTAAAACGTTATGTTTGGAATAATAAACGATTAGGTGATATAGTACTGATTAATATTTACTGAGTTCAAGCTATCAAAATGTCACAAACAAATTTCTTAAATAAATTATAACTTTTGTGTTTGCTTGATTGTAGAAAAGCGTTTAGAAAGTTCCAGAGTCTAATATTCGAAATGTGTATTTAAGGTCGAAGTACCCAAAATGTAAACTATTATGTTCAGATCGGTACTTAAAATATTCCATTTAACTAGTGACAATAGTATACGCACACTGTACAATGTACATATACTGATTAAAGTGTATAATATCGTACAATATAACATAATATGATCTCGAGTACCTTATCTTAGATGAATCCACTCGGATTCCAAAACTTTATTATTGACTGTCAATCGTAATTGAAGCTGTTTAAAGAACGATTTTACTACATTGAATTTATTTTTACACGTTTGTTCGTTGAATTTTATTTGCTTCCAACGGATATCTCAAAGAAAAAATTGTAAATCGCAAGAAATGAATAAAAGACAATGTGAATAAACATGTTCAAGTATGTATGACATTGTTTGTATACTTACAACTAGTACAATCTCTATAATGTCTATTGCTTTACATAAACGTTTTATGTTCAACCAACTCAAAGTGGTTGCACTTTTAGACATGATTTTTTAGTTAATGAGTTCTTAACAATTATCGCGTGGGTTTATTAATATATGCTTGTTCTTAAAATATCAATGTACCAATTAAAATCCGTATATTAGACTAGTGACAAAACAAGTAAATAATATTTTAATTTCTTAAAGTTTGTACGTTATCAATACCTCTTGGGTTCTGTTCGATCTGTTTGCTCTTCGGATTCATTCAATGTGGGAAACGTGAAGTGTTGTTTTGGTTTTTTTGGTGATGATGTATTATCACCACTAGGTGACCCTGACACGCCGGTTGGTGATGACGGTACAGGAGGAGATCCGTTGTCCGCCTGAAAAGAGTCTTCACTGTCGATTGTCATTTGTTCGGCTGCGAATCCAGAGGAGTTGCGGCCGATTTCCATTCGGGTTCTGTCTTCCTCGAATCGACTTTTGGCATACCTTCTCGAGAGTAACTTCAGTCTAAAATCAATATTGAATAATCGTGAAAATATAATCTGTTTCGAATTCTGCATTTGTATAAGAAAATTAAATGTAATAACTGACATCGATATTGTTTCCTTAATTATGAATTTGAAGTTATGGTCATTTAATAAATAACATAAAAGCAACAGGTAGTAAATAATGTTTATTTTTTTCATCAAAAGTGCTAAAAATTCTATAGTACGTGTGACGGTGTACGAAATTTACTTTAACTGAAATAAACGCTGATATTTTCATGAACGCATAAGTATAATATTTAGTCGAAGACATTGGGATGACAAAGTGTTCATTTTTTTGTGTAATTAAGTAGAAAAAAATTATTTGACGTAATAACCAGATATATCAGATTTTTATAAATAGAGTTAAAACACAAATGGACATGTATTGTTGTATTTTTAAATGCAACAACAAGATATATTCGGACGTTTTTATATCTGCTTTAAAATTAAAAAAAATAAACGTGTCTCGTTGTTGTCTCGTGGTATTGAATTGTATACATAAAATTAATCGAAGATATAACAAACTGAGTGAGGGAGCTTAGCTGTTTTAACCTTTTGCATATGACACTAACTTGTATAGTAGGTAGAATTAATACTTCATTATTTTTAATTACCTAATTAATCTTCGAACGAATTACATGAAATATTGTTTGAATTTCAGAAGTTTTAATTTACACGTTTTACAATGGGTCGTAAATCATAAAAATTCATGCACTTCAATAATAGGGAGAACAATTTTATTTTAAAAATTATACATTTTTCTTTATTTATTTTTATACAACATGGTTGTTTTTTAGAATTAATTTCGTCGGAAAATGTTTTAACGTTGAATAAAAATGTTCTTTGAGTTTTCTTTTTTATGTTATTTTCTCACTGCTAAAAAATTATAAGTTTACGTTTTAAAATTTATTACAAAGTAGTTTTTTCTGAATTTCCATTTATTATCCGGTTTAGTTTTATTGTTATTAGAGAAACTGACGTTTCGCACACCTTTTAATTCATGTTTCATTATTCACAGTATTTTTTCTGATTCTTCTTTTTTTTTCATTAAAAATCAGTTATACTGTTAAAAAATATATCATTAATTTTAATACTAAATAAACATTTAAATTTACAGCACCATTATGAAAAATATATAATAATAAATACATAAGGAAAAGGGGTGCACAACGAGACATATGTGATTTTAAGCCAATGTCTAAATTAAAGCTGATTTTAACGATACACTTTAATATAAATATTTCTTAAGGAATATGTAAATATTTAACCAATAAAAATTTTAGTAGCACTGTTTTAACGGCACTACCATTGTTCAACACTTAAAAACTATATCGAACAAAATTCACTTGTTTGTTTTTGGTAATTAATATATTAGTCACGTATTATTTTATTCTATTTAAAACACATAAATACAAATTTTAGTACACTAAATTCATCTTTTACTAAAATATTAAGTACATTTTTTACACTCTTGACTTAATAACATTGAATTTCCTTCGATAAAAAAATTTGATTTTTACGAAAATAGTCCATTATTTGTAAATTATTTATTAATAATCTATTAAATGTCAGTAAAACATCAATATTTTAAATTGGTGAATTGTCCCAATGTAAACCACAAATATTCACATTGTACATACACCTTTGATGAGCCACGATGAGACATTTTATATTTGTTTTTTCGCAAATAAACTTAATTAATGATATTTTTTAAGTCTAAGAAATGGCTATATAAATATTATTTTTAGTAAAATTTCGTACTATGGTTATTGAACAGCTACGTTAAATTAACATTTGTGATTATAAAAAAGGCGAAATTACAATGTTCTAAAACGTTTTTGGTAGGCCATGGTAAAGGTTTTGTGTTAAATTAGAATTGTTTTTGTAACTTTTATAAAAAACTCGGAAAAGGGAAATTTAATTTTCAATATGTCACATTTTCTTTTGTACAGAGATGAAGTAAAGTCGGACATTTTTCAAATAAAATAATTTCTACTGACCTTCTATTAGTTATTATGGTGTTACGGTGTAGGTTTTCTAGTAGTGCTTGTCGTTTCATGATGTTTCGCCATTCCAAAGTATTGTCAGCGTCGTCATCGGCATTTTGGTTTTTGTCGGCCGGTTTGAAGTCTTCCACCGTCGTCGTGTTATCAACAGTGCCGCTGTTGAAATTGTTGTTTTTGTTATTGTCATTATTGTTGTTGTTGTTGTTGTTGTTGTTATTGTTGTTGCGATGGTTAGTGGGCAGTGCGGTGTACTGGAGGAAAGCCAGGGAACTGTCGTCATATTCCTCGGGTGCGGTATCTTGGACGGTGAACACGACTTTAGGATCATCTCTTGGCGGTTCTTCTGTGCTAGACGCGCTGTAGAACTCGTCGTCTTTTTCAGCAGATGATGAAGACTGAGTTCCGTTTAATACTTCATCGAGTAAATTAGGAGTGATCCTCATTTTAGATTCTACGTACTGCAACAATTTAATAAAACGCAATTATAATTCAGCTATTAACTGTAATAGAAATATTAATTATATTTTATACGCTGTCGAGTTTATGAATTAATGAAATACTCGATTTGGTATTAAATATTGCTGGATAACTTGAGTGCTCAAGACGTGCAATATTGTGTACACAGTAGATATTAAATAATACATTTTTAAAGCGGCTCACTCATGAACACAGAGAATAGACATAAAATTAATTATATCAATCAAATACAGCAAAGTCTATTTCATAAAGCTACATAAATATAAGCATGACATTTAATTAAAAACTATTCATGTTAAATATTTTTTATGCACTATAATTAATTATAGTATACAATACGTTTTAATGAAATAAACAATTATTCCTTTAAAATTAAAAATATATTTGAAATATTAATTCAAAACTAAAACGTATTTAACTCAAAAAGCCATAAAAATTACGAAAAAGTCACGGATAAGTATTTTATAAGCAATGTTATCAACGTTAAACACATACTGTGTTCCCCCTAGTGACCTTATCAGCTAGTGACACTATCACTAAATTATGTTATAACCTAATCGATCGTCACATATTGCATAACATTTAATATAAATTTCATATTGTATTTTATAAATGCAGAATTTCCCCCTTTTTTTTTTCTTCTATCTTTAGAGATACCTAATAAATCACTTAAATTATTACTCCTAGATTATTCTTAAACATTCTAACTAGATCATTCGAAATACCCGGATAGTATAGAATGAGCTATCTAATTAGTTTTTATTCTCCAATCTAATGAGTGCCCTCACTTCTTTGTTCCACTTTTTCGTTCGGACTAATTTTGAAATTACATTTTCATCATACCCATTAAATTTAGCTATTTTCCTAATAACCCCCAGTTCTTTATCAAAATCTATTTTATTCATCGGAACATTAACTAATCTGTAAGCCATACTATTCAAAGCTGTTATTTTGTGTTTCTAGCTGTAGTTCGAGTTGTTTGGAATGCACACGAAAGTATGTTTGTTTTTCCGATATTTCAATATTTAGCCCCCTTTTACTCTTTTAATTAATAAATCCAAAAAAAAAAAAACAATTTTCTCTCTACTTTATGTTCGTATGTAAATTTAATCGATGGGTAAAAATAATTACAATGTTGTACGAAGACATCCGTGTTAAAATCTTTGTTTATTATTGCAAAAATATAACCTAAATGCCCAACCCAAATTTTTGAAAAATCGTCATAGGTGTGTTTTAAATTTGTTTAAAGCCTACTTATAAAAAGTTCCGCTAAAATTGGTGATAGTGGATTGCCCATTGCTGTACTCTGAGTTTATTCATAAAATTTATTTTGAAATGATAATCATTTCGACCCACACATAACTTTGTTAAATTATAAGCTCGTATTATTCTATTATATGTTTTGTTCTTTATTCATTATTTAAGAAAATCAATTGTTATACTTATTGGAAAACTCGAAAATAAAGCTTCTACGTCAAAAGAAATTAACCTATTATTATTTTGAATAGCATAATCAGGTAATTTTTGAATAACATCAATATTATTTTCAACTAAAAAGCTAACGAAGTTTTTAACAGATGAAAACACCTTTACTAACTGTTTAGACAAATTGTAAGTCAAAGTATTATTATTCGACACAATTGGACTCGTATTAATTCCCGGCTTATGTATTTGAAAAATTAAGATTTTATTGGAAATTCTAAACTTTGTCTCAATTATAAATTTTGAACTATTAATAACATTTGTAATCTCCCTTATCATTTTACAGGTTCTCGTTAATTTCGTTATAGGGATTATTCTTGAATAATTTTTGAAACACAATTGAAACAATCTCCTTTTTCAAGTATTTCTATGGAATTCTCCTTATTTTATTTTAAACAAAAACGGTTTTTATTTTTTAGATTCTTTATGAGTTATGAATATTTTTTCTAAACTTCCTTTACATACAATAAAATTTTTTCGATAAATACTTGTTTAAGGCATAACTTTTGTATTATTATTTCTCCGTGGGAAAATACAATGTTTATGTAATTCTTAATTAAATTGTCTTCCCATTAAAAAAAAAAAAGAAACTACAAGACTTTTAATATATTTATTTTGCCCTTATTTTTGTGTTCTGAAAGTAAATTTCAACTTTTTTTTTTTAACTATGTTTTTTATAATTCGAATTTCTGTTTGAACACTTGGTACATATTTTGTACAAACATTTTCCACTGAGATTGTTCCAAAAAAATGGAAAGTTTTGGGGCTCAGAATTAAAAACACTTAAGGAAAATTAAAAATTAATAAATTAACATATCTCCTGTAACTAAACATTTATTAACATATTATTACTTCATTAATATGATAAAACTATATAACAATGTAAATAATTACAAATAATTAATATAAGGGAGGCAATAGGAATATATATAAAAAAAAATAATAATATATTGGGATCATGGCTCACTGAAAAATTCATTATTTAACTTTCATAAACCCACAAAATGTGACAATCGATTAGGTGATAACATAATTTAATGATAATGTCACTAGGGTATATATAAAAGAATATTTTTCAGTTGGATTTTAGTATATGTTTCAATGTTAACATTGTTTTTGAAATACTTATCCGTGACTCTTTAGTAATTTTTGTGGTTTTTTGAATTAAATATTTTTTAGTTTTAAATTAATAATTTAAATATATTTTAGCCTTTAAGTGATTAATTCTTATTATATAATTGTTTTTAAATTTTGTTTTTCACTTTAAATAAAAACACGGAGAACATATTAATATAATACGTCATACATCTACAGTTAAATTAAAAAAAATTCTCTATATTTATCACACATAGTTTTTGTTAGTGCTACACTGCTTTCTGTGTTAAAATTTTTTCAGAAATTTAATCAAGTCGGTGAAAACTTTGTTAATTTTAAAGTAATGTGTTGACGAGTACATTAAGTAAAAAACTGTTGAAAAATGTACTTAATTCAATTTCTCATCTATTTTGTGCCAATAAAATTCTGAACTGCGTTTTATTTTTTATAGCTATAGATAATGTCATTATGATTTATGTGTTGTACACATTTAAGTGTCTTCTTTCAAGATATATTTTTTGTTGAACAAATAATTAATTTAATAATCTTAAAATTCAGTGTGTGAAGAGCTCTTAAATTTGGAGCTAAATGTTTTGGTTACTCTTAAGCTAAAGAAAGTAGATTAATGTTTTTTTTTTCTATTTTGATATTCAGATTAAAATACCAAATTATTGGTGTTGTTTAAGAAATTATGAAGCCTGGGGCTCAACATTTAAATGAGGTCCCTATGTTATAAACGCAATTTAAGTTTTATAATTTATGCTACGCTTTAACAAAAAAGTTGAGCCTCGGGAGCTACGTCCTCTCTGGTTCATTCCTAGGCTGATTAATATGATTTTTTGTTCTAGGGAATAGTTAAAATTTTAAAATTAATATCCTTTGTTCAATTCGAATTAGAATTAGCCCTTGACTTCGATTTAAATATTTTTGTGATAATTTTTGCTATTTATAGCAAGGAAATGATAATATGAATGTAAATGGGAAATGGGGTTGTATGTCAGTCACTTAAAAGCTGTCTCTACAGGTAATTATCACAATACTTGTTAAGGTTATTAATTTTAAATGATTTTAACTCGGGGGCTTTATAAAATATACTTATTGTCAAATGAATTTTTATTTTATGTGCTAACATAATAAATAAAAAGAAAATTTATATTTTGCTTTGAATTATAACTCGAGGCAACAAAGGCAAATAATTAATTACCGTGCACGCGATTCATAAGTTGTCTGGTAATCGTCAAACTTACCGGGTTGTCGACGCTCTCCTCGTGTTCTGTGTCGTCTGTGACAGTGGTCATAGTGACTACAGAGGAATCGGTACTAGTGTTGACAGTAGCTGACGATTCAATTGATATTGAACCAGAACCGATCACTTTGACTTTAGGGACGGGGGATGTCTGTTGTGATTGCGCCTTGGATCGGTTGAGCATGCGGCGGGCGCCGGCAGACTTGAAGTGCAATCGGCGAAGAGCGCTGGACGCGCTGGCGATGAGATCATTGCCTGGTGACGCTGTTCCATAGCTGGAAGCCGACGACGGCGTTGGAGATCCCGGCGCCGACTTCCTTACGAGAACCGCCACTCGGTGTTTGCTTGTGCCACTGACATCAGCGTTGGCCGGAGTACAGCCACCACCAACCTATCAACACAAAATCAAAATATTTTTTATTGGCAATGTGGTTCATTTTGTCTATAAAAAGTATAACGGTGAAAAATTGTGTACGTTAAATTAAATATTAAGGCGGAGGGAGGACAGCTGACAATGGGATATCGTAAGCGTCGAAATAGTCACCGCCTACATGATCGCGACGTGTTGTTAAATATATAACTTGCGAATAATTAAAAATGTTGTCTTTAATGATCAGAATCGTTGAGATTTATAGTCTGTTCATAAGCCAAAAGATTTCCGTAACTAAAACCAAATGGTTTTCCATAGAATTTTAATGTATATAATAATTAAATTAAGGTAACGTTGCATAACGTTTCCGTTATCCGAATAAAGATTGTTTACGTCACCTCACCAATTTACTGGACTCTGAGTAAAAATCCATACTGTATTTAAATAAATTAAAAAGTCAATTAATTAACTTTTTTAATTACAACTTTTTCTTTGCCGATTTCTTCGTGGCTTTATTGGTTTTAAAATAATGACTATTCATTACTTTCTCTTTTTTTTTTACTTTGTTTATTGTTTGCAGTGTTCCGCCGAATTTCTTCCGTTTTCCGCCGGATATGTTAGAACCATCATCAAAAAATTACTTCGACAATGTATTTTATTAAAATAGAAATTTTACATTTAATGAGAAAATAAAAAAATATGTTTACATTTATAAAAGTTGTTTACTTAAAATTATATTTATATTTTATATACGATGTTCATCCTTGAACTTTAATTTATATTTGTTTTTATTTTTAGAACTTCGTATTGATAAAAATGTGTAAATAGTTCTATTAAATGAGTTTAATGAGATCTAATCGAATTGCACGGTAAAGTAATAAATGAATGAATCACGTGTATTAGTCAAAGTTCGTGAAACGCTACTTCTAAATGAATTTACTTGCAATTGTACTTATTTTTGCTTTTCCGCATTTCAAAAGGATCGATTAATAGACAATGAATCTCCCTTTTCTTATTTCTATTATTTTCCATAGAATTCATTATTACTTTTTCACAGTTCACGAAAGACTTCATTTAAGTATAAAGTTAGCTTTGTTATAAATAGAACCATCATCAATATTAGTGTCTCTGTAACGGGTAATACGAATAAGTTTATTAAGAATCATGGTAGTTTTTAGTATTTGAAAAAATTATATTGTTAAAAAAATGGACTTACAGAAAAATATATATTTGTATGTTTTTTTAATAGGTAAATTGTGTTTGTTTTACAAGTTGTTTTTCAATTGTTTATTAGTTGATAAAACTACTTTGAGTTATTAGTTATAGTTTGTCGTTTTGTAGTCCTGGCCTTTATCATAATGATTGTATGTATTTTCACAGCTATGTTAAACAATGAAGTGTAAAATAAGCAAAAATTATTAGCTTACATTAAGTTAAATGGCAAAATCAAAATTATTTTTTGTATATTTAATTAAAAACGTCTGGTAATACAACTTCATTTTATTTCAATCAATTTATTTTGATTGATATTACAACTAAGTAAATAATGAAAAAAAAAACAATATTTATTATCATTATTTGTTCAGATATAAAATATTTTAAAACAATATTAAATATAGAATTTACATTTAACTTGCATATTGAGAGGTTTTTTTTATTATTTTCGGTTGTATTTATAATGTTCTACCATAATTCACTCCATTTTTATTTTTACAAAACAAATATTATTAAAATAATATAAAATAAATATTATAAGGCCAAAAAGCACTTAAAAATACAAAAAATATATGAATAAATCATTTTTTTCGTATATTCCAATAATTGATTGATTTATATTAAGTTAATTTTGAATAAAGTTTTAATATGACACTATGATTACGTCATTTAAAAAAAATGTTAAATTAAAAGATGTAATTGCATTTCAATACTCCTATTTTAATACAGTGTATTCCTAAATTCAAATTTTAATTTATAAACTAAAACAAATTTATATGATGGAAATAATAAGTAAATTTATTTAAAGTATAATCTGTTATTAAAATAGTTTATGCGATTAATAATATAAAATCAGAGTAATTTAATTATAGTACCATATTATTCTGCTTATGATAATAATAATAATAAATAAATAATATTATATATTATTTTACACAGAACAATATTATAGTTATTTATAATAGTTTTTAATATTTAATGTATTGATTCATTTATTATCTGCACAATAAATGATTATTATTCATAATGTATTATTAGAAAATATAAAAATTAATGAGTTTTCACGATATTTAATTGTAATTATAACGAATGTTCTATTGAAAAAATACTGTCTATTCAAAGTGGACTATTTATCACACCAACTAGTTACACGGTCGCGTGAAGATTTAACCATTAAGTTTTAAGTTAAAACTATCCTTAACGAGGTTATTCCGTAGTAGGTATCTTAATACGTAGCCCAAGCTCGAGAAATTTGAAATGATAAAATATCACTGCAAAGGTTTTTATGAGAACAACGCATAAAATAATGGATGAGTTTTATTCAATGGTTTTAAGCGTCTGTCAGATTTGTGTTTTCTGCCTCGAGTAGGAGACAAATAACAGAGACCGTGATTGTGACATTTTAAGTTGTTTCACTTTTATTAAGTATAATAAAATGTAATGTTATCATTCGTCGGACCCTGGGGAAGACAGTAAATGCGGCAATGATAGAGTACAAGTCTGGGTGATAATATGTGCGTACTTGTTATGGAAAAATTATTCGTCTTAAGATGCAATTATACAGCAATGAAACAAATAATAATATCAAAGAAATATTTGCGCTTACGTAGTGGTGGTATATCAGAGTTTTATTATAATTTTTTTTACGGGAAGATGACTCTGACATTGTTATGTAACTTCGTGCACAGACGACGACAAAGTTTTCAGTAAGCAGAGCTAAATTAAAGTTGTATATATTTTTATAAATATATTATGGTAAAGAGTTTTTTAGAGACAAAGCGTGAGCAATACGACAAGTTGTAAGGAAAACTTCTTGTTTGCCTGTTCTCAAATGTTCTTTAGAAATACTGAATTAATAAAATGCATAAACAGTATGTAATAAATATTAGGTATCTATTCTCGAATCTCAGTGGCTATGCAAATGCGAAAATAATCTTATTTTAATGTCCAATGGTTAGTGAAACATAAGAACATTTTTTTACCAAATATTAAATGAAATTTTAATAGACTTTTGTATGTTATGTACTCTTTGAGAGTACACTAATTCTTGATTAATTCATTAACAGTTCGAATAATTTATAATTTATATTTTTGAGAAATATTTTTTGTAACTAACTTGTGTAACAAAACTAATACTTTCTTTTTAAAAACCTTTCAAAAAATTTAATAATTTAACTCTAATGTTTTTTCTTTTAGAAGTATACGGTAGATAAATATATTTTTAATATAAAGAAGTCTCTTGTGATATTTATAAATAATTTTTTATTTGATTTACTTTTTTAGTAGAGTCTTACGCTGTTATAAATTTGTTAATGTGGTGGCACCTTAAAGTCATTTTGGACGACTGCCCGACTTTTAAAAAGGTAAAGGGATAGTAAGTTGATGTTTACTATAACAATCAACTGTTATGAGTAATTAAAATGTTAATGATAGTGTGCTAAATTCTTTATAAATTTGAAGACTTAATAATCTATTTAAAGTGGAAAAATATAGATGCTTATACGTTAAAACCCGAACAATTATTTCATTTCAATAGACTTTGTCATAATAGGTACTTATTAAATATTTGATAGATACCTTAGGATTTGTTTATTGCGTCTATTTGTCTATCATAATAGACAAATCTTATCGAGATATTAATAGCTCCACTGTTTGCAATGCAATACATGTCTGTTATCAATTATAATAATTTGTATATGTGAATGTCATGCAGTTCTTGAGGCGTGGAGAGCAATTCTTAAATTTTAAACATTTTTGCCTTACCTGTTTTTTTTACATTGGCACTATTGTGTTAACGTATTGATATTATGTAAGCAAGTCGTAACAACAATAAATTGTTATTATTTTGGCACCATTTATTGTGTGGTTATAAACGGAGAAAAAATTATGAAGAGTGCGAATCCAAATATTTCCAATGAACTTAACTTTTAATAACATAAAATAAATCAAATGATGTATAAATAATTTTGTGAAACTTGCTGAATACTACCGAAATTTTATGTTTAGTTGGCTGTAACGCTACAGGCTTAGCAGAGAGTGAAAAATTTGGTCACGAAAGATAGTTGAAACGATTACCAACTCTCTCTGCCGTTGACCTACACAAAAATGATCGCGTGTTGTACAATCATTTATTTATAGTCTAAATTTAATGTAAGACGCACCCTCGGACCTTTATATCATTATTATTTTTTTTGTCAGTGTGATAGAATAAGGTCATACTGTAAAGTACAATGACTTTGCACTGTATACCTCGAATCTCATTGTAGTACGATCGGAGGACTTTCTCCTGGAAAGTCTTAGCGATAGGATTGTAATGAATCAAAATAGAAGTTTCGAGACTATCCGAGAAACTTCTAGAATAATCTTTACACAAATAATTATCAATTTGAAATACTTTTCTGACTGACTATTATTTTATTACTTTTTACAAATACATCGTTCATTTGGAGCGATGTTTACATTAATGTCCATCTTTTTAATTACCATAAGCGTATCTGTGGCGCCGAACAGACGGCAAGATTAAATAGTTAAATTTTTAAGAAAAACTAGCCTCCCTTCATTACCTTACCAACTAATTTAATATAAAAGGGCTAGTAAAATTAGCACAGACACTCTCTTTCCATTTTATCTCTCTCGCATACTCTCACTTTCATTTTCACTTATTATTCCCCCATAATCTTACACTTTCATATTAAAAGTTAATAATGTAAAATTCACGTTACTTTTGTTAATTTTAATTATAAGACTTATATATATTTGTCAAAATAATTAATACAAGTTATAGAAATAAACTCAGTATGTTGCCC